CTAGAGGACAGCCTAGACTTACAACCCTTGTCAGGCTATGACAAGGGGCCTGACCTGAGCGGGGCGCCCTGTCTTCCCTTACCATGAAATGGAAACAGTCATAGCCCCTTTCCCTTCAGTAAAGACGATTTGTAGAACTTCCATTCCCCACTGGGGTGGTGTCACAGCAAGTCCAGTGGAGAGCTGGACTTTCACCACCTTGTAGTAGTAATAGGACATCCCTACTGTGGTGTCAATGAGGCCATGTGGGAAGCAGTGCGGAGGCAGCATGCCCTTCCCAGCAAGCAGACATCAGGGGCCTGATAGTGAGGAGCTGAACTCTCAGCCCTGTCTAGCAGCAACAAGGATCCTCCACCTTGGGTGTCAACAGAACCCAAGTGGGAAACTTAGACTTCTACCACCAAGATGACTCCCCCCTACCCCTGCTGAAGTTGTATCAGAGAAAGCTTGCAAAAATAAAAGATTTAAATCTTATCCAGAGCCACAGTCTCATAAAATAATACTCAATATATCCAAGTGTCAATCAAAAATCACTCATAACAAGAACCAAGAAAATCTCAACTTGACTGAAAAAATACGAACAAGAGACACCAGCATTGAAATAAACCAGAGGTTGAACCTGACAAGGATTTCTAAAATAGCTATATTACAAGTTCATGTTCCCCCAAAATGAGTTCATATGCTAAAGCCCTTACTCCCAAAGTGATGGTACAGGAGATGGAACCTTTAAAAGTAATTAGGTTTACAAGGAGATGAGGTCATGAGACTGGAGCTCCCATGATATGGATGAGTATCCTTAAAAGACACAAGAACTTCTCCTCTGACCATGTGACCACACAGTAAGAAGGCAGCCATCTGCAAGCCAGGACTAGGTCCCTCACCAGGAACCAAATCTGCCAGCACCTTGATCTTGGACTTTCCAGCTTCTGGAACCATGAGAAATAAGTGTATCATTTAAGCCATTTAATCTCTGGTATTTTTTCATGGCAGCATGAGCTGACTAAAACAAGCCATCATAAAAGCTGACTTAAATAATCAATGACAAATCCTCTTGAAACAAATGGAAAAATGGAAAATCTCAGGAAAGAAATAGAAGTTATAAAAAAGAACCAAATGAAAATTATAGCACTTCAAAGTGCAATAACAATTTTAAAAATACTCAGGAAATGAGCTCAACAGTAGCATGAACGTGACATAGAATAGAATCAGTCAACATGAAGATAAAACCAATAGAATTCACTCAGTCTGAACAAAAGGGATAAAAACAGACTGGAAAAAAGTTGAGAAGAGCCTGAGGGACCTGTGGGAAAACATGAAAGACCCAACATTGACATCAGAATCCCAGGACAAGAAGGAGAATGGGATTAAAAGAGTATTTCAAAAAATAATAGCTGAAAAGATGCCAAATTTGGTGAAAGACACACACCCACATATTTAAGAAGCTGAGCAAGCCCCCGAGAGAATAAATCCAAATAAATCCACAGCATGACTGATGATCATGATTAAACTTTCAAAAACTAAAGATATGAAAAAAATCTTGAAAACACCCATAGAAAAATGGACACAGCACCTATATTAAATCCCAGCAGATTTCTCATCTAAAACCACAGAGCCTAGAAAGAAACGCCAAAATATTTCTCAAATGTTGAAAGAAACAAACTGTTATCCATGAATTCTATATCCACAAAAACTATCCTTCAAGAATGAAAGCAGAAAAAAAAAGTTCTCTGATGAAGGAAAATTAAGGGAACATGTTGTTAGCAGACTTATCTAAAGATTGGCTAATAAGTTCTTCAAACAAAAATGAAATTGTATTAGCTTCTTAGGGCCTGCCAGAACATAAACTAGAAGGCTTAAAACAACAGAAATATATTTTCTCATAGTCTGGAGGCTTAAAGTATAAAATCAAGGTGTTGGTAGGGCCATGATCTCGCTGAAACCCACGGGGAGCCGTCTCCGGTACAGCCCAGCTTCTGGAGGTCTGCCAGCAATCCTCAGCGCTCCAGGGCTTGCAGCTGCAGCCCTTTGGACTCTGCATCCCCCATCATGTGGTGTTCTCTATATGTGTCTCTTTTCTTAGAAGGACACCAGTCGTACTGGACTAATGGCTTACCCTACTGCAGTCTGACCTCACCTGAACTAATTACATCTATAACAACCCCATCTCCATATTCTCAAATCCTGGTGGCTTGGACTTCAGGATGTATTTTAGGGAGATATAATTCAATCCATATAAAAAAGTACCCCCCCAGGTAGTGCCTGTGGCTCAAAGGAGTAGGGCGCCAGCCCCATATGCCAGAGGTGACAGGTTTAAACTCAGCCCCAGCCAAAAACTGAAAAAAAAAAAAAACCCCCCCAAAGGTTACATACTATGTGTATAACATCCTTGAAATGATGAGATTAAAGAAAAGGAGAACAGATCTGTGGGTGCCAGGAGTTAGGAATGGTGGGGAGAGGAGACAGGCATGACTATAAAGAGATAGCAAGAGGGAGATCTTTGTGGTGACAGACATTTATCTTGATTGTAGTGGTAGCTGTGTGAATCTATACATGGAATAAAATAACAAAGAAGTATATGCATACTGTACCAACATCAACTTCTTGGCTTTGACATTGTACTATAGTTACTTAAGATGTAACCATTAGGCAAACTGGGTGAGGGGTGCGTGGAACCACTCTATCATCTTTCCAACTTCCCATAAACTCTAATTATCCTAAGAATGTAAATTTTCTATAGATAACCCAAAGTTTTTCCTCAGAAAGATGTCCGTTGCTGTTGTTTTTGAGACAGGGTCTCACTCTGCTGTCCAGGCTAGAGTATAGTGGCATTATCATAGCTCACTGCAGCCTCAAACTCCTGAGCTCAAGAGATCCTCCTGCCTCCAGAAAGATGTTTTCATAAAAACTTTTGTACTCTAAGAAACCAGTTTAGGTCATGATAGTAAAATAGTTGTCTTAACTGTATTAACCATGAGAAGGGAGAAAAAAGAGTAAGAGGAGGTGTAATGGTAATAACCTACAGGGCAACAATCAGTGCCTCCAGAACTTGCAGACTCCGTGAAGCCACGGGGATTAGGACAACAAAACCAGCCCATGACACAGCACATCGGCACAAAAGTACTAGAGGCTGGCAAATCTCCAAATTAAGAAAGAACAATCAGACCCTAGCTCTCTGATTAAGATATCACTAAATAAAAAAGAAAGTATAGGCTAATCGATGTAATATACAGGAAGTAAGACTGAGCCAGCCAGAAGTCTAGAGAAAGTGAAGGCGAAATCAAGTGGGCTGTACTGAACTCATCCAGCATTGCTCAGAAGCTGGTGATGGACAAGAAGATCCAGTTGGTGTCAGAGATCCGCTCTTTGCAGGGTAGGGATGGTTTACAGGTTTTCTGTCTGTTAGAGCTATTACACTCCCCTTGCTCTTGTTCTAAATTTACCAAGAAAACTTCTAATAACCAATCTTTAACACTGTCTGTTATGGTATGGGAAGAGGATCTCTTTTATTTTTTATTTTTGAGACAGCCCAACTAGAATGCAATGGCATCAGCATAGCTCAGTGCAACCTCAAATGCCTGGGCTCAAGTGAGCCTCTTGCCTCAGCCTCTCGAGCAGCTGGGACTACAGCCATGAGCCACCACACCCTGCTAATTTTTCTATTTTTAGTAGAGATAGGGTCTCACTCTTGCTCAGGCTGGTGTTAAACTCCTGGCCTCAAGTGATCTTCCCGCGTTGGCCTCCTACGTGCTAAGATTTACAGGCATGAGCCACTGCACCCAGCAAAAAGAATCTTCTTAGGGTAAATTAAGTACCTGACATTCTGCTTGTGAGTCTTCGTTTTTACACTTAAGTCAGTCTCGAAAGCCTAATTAACTCAGAATATACTAAGATAAGTTTCTAGATTTTTAAAGTTAAGGACCGTATCCTAAATCCAGCAGGCACACTTTGGCCTAGACAGCTTGCCTCTTCCTGTCTAAGGCACCTCTATCTTGTTCTCTCATTTTCACATGTAATAAAATCAGCCTTGCAAATAGCGCTCCAAAATCCTATTCAACTTACAAAATTCAAAACAGACCTACTTTTATCTGCCAGAGCCATTCTCTTTTTCCTCCTACTCATTGCTATCTAAAATCATTCTCCAAAATGCATATTCTACATATAGCATCTATCATGAACACAGATTCCTATCAAATACGATAAAAGAGCAAAATAAGCAAAGCAGAATGGATTTCTTTAGCCAACACTGGAAATGTGCAAGTTCATGCTTTCATTTCTCCTGCTCAGCCCTGAGTCCTTAGGTATATGAACCACCACCCTAAGATCCTGCTAAATTGTCCATTTAAAGTATATAATAAAGTTCCACAATTGTTCTGGTTTTGAAATATCTAAACGTGAAAGGTGGTCACCATATTCCTGACAACCACCACAGGCAACAACAAACAAAGGACCCTACAAATTCTTCCCTTTACATTTCATTAGTGATTCATTTCTAAGATGTTACAAGAATCCATATTCCAAAACATGGTAAAAGGAAAACCTAAAAAGAACACAGATAGGCTACTTACTTGTACTCTGTATGTGAAATTACCTGTTTTCCTACAAATTCCATTGTGGAGGAGTGTGTTGCACAATGAATTCCACACCTGATTTAAATCATTATCAAAAAGCATTTCTCACGATTGATTTGCTTAAGAAAGTAGAAGTGTTATTTCCCTATAATAGACTACACATACATATTAAATTTCTAGAATTCTATTTGAAACTGGATTTATCTACTTAACACTGAAAAGGCCAGCTCAGAGTCTGGAAAAGGCTAGCTCAGAGTCTGGCTGTTTTTCATATCTGGGCAAGATGGCACAGCCTAAATCTTCGTGTCTTCTATTACTTATTTCTCACTAGTGTAAACTGTCAGCCATGGACAGCTGAGGACAATACTGCTTTAGGATAGCAGAAGTATCTGACGTGGATGCTACTTAAAGTAGGTTTAAATTTTCACTTACCTCCACGGCTACCACAATCAAAATGAGGTCCACTTTTGACTCTGGGAAGACTGCATTCACTTGAGGTGACATTCCAATCAGAACACAGTTAGTGACCACGGATATGACACTCATTGTTTCAAAAGCCAACTAAAAGAAACAAGAACATGAAATTTAAAATTGCAATGAATACTTTCAGAGTTCCTCAGCCTTTTTCATACTATCTAAAAAGCAAAGAAAAAGTCTTAGCCTAGTTCAAAATATCCCCAAGTACATTTTAAACTTTTTTCCCTCAGTCATGCTATGATTTTCCTAGCCCAAAAAAGCCATACTTTTAGAAGAAGGTATTTTGGATACTGTTGGCTTGACTATCCCAAAGCAGTATGTTCTGTCTTCCTAATTGGAGGCAGCCAAGGACCTGAATTTGGAATACTGTAAAAGTTGCTCTGCTCATATTCTAAGGGAAATCTAAAGTGGGGCTGACAGAGAAAATGTTTCACGTTCAAAACCAGGTGAGGTTGCAAAAGAATTTATGATGTGAAACTATCCTTCTACTTTGACAGATCACACACCACGTACAGCTATAACCAGCTTTATAACCAAGGCACCAGTTATAAACAGTGACCCTGCCTAACAGCAATTAGCCAATCACACTTGTGATTGGTAATCACATAAGTACACAATTACCAATCACACTGCTTACCAAATTTTTCTCTAAATTGCTTTAGAAAAATACAGATGCTAGGCTCTAATAAGCCCTACTAAATAAACAGACTCTGATCCAAGATCCCACGAGACTTTGGTGCGCACTACTGAGGACAGATGTAGAAATGTGACTATTACCTTTTTTTTAATATAAAGTACTTGATGATCAATACTTGATAACTTAACCACTAATTCTAAGGAACACAATCACTATTTAAAAGAAGCAAAACAAAAGATGATTGAAACTTAATACAAACTTAATACACATTATGTCCTCCCATGGAAATTTTCTACCATCTTATAATTTAGAAATTCTTTGTGTAAACTGATTACTTTTCCATCGTTTTCTTCACAATAAGCCTATTCAAGACTTTATCTTCTCTATAAATAGCCTTAGATTTTTATTTACTTACTTTTGATACATTCACATAGTGTAAAAAACAAAAGTCCTATGTATATAGTGAATGATCTCCTTGTCCCCTACTCCCCCACTTTCCAGCTGTTCATCCTGAAAGATAACCACTTTTGCTAATTTCTTTTCTTATAGACCTTTCCAGACAAAGATCTGGATGCAAATATAAGCAAATGAGTATTTATACACAGTCTTTCTTAGCCTCTTTTTAGCACAATAACCACTGCTAGGACTCTTACTTTTGTCATATAAAGTCTCTTGAAGGAGCTTCTTGGTCAGTACTAAAAGAATACCCCCACTCATTGTCACAACTGCTTTTATTGCATGGATGTACCAGAATTTATTTAGTTGCTATCACAAACAATGCTACAATTAGTAACTTGATAAGTACATTATTTAACAAGTGTGAAGTAAACTAAATTCCCGAAAGTGAAATGGCTGAGTCAAGGGGGACGTGCATTTGTAATCTGATTGCACCAACATGCACTCCACAGGGTTGACCACATCACACTTCCAAAGCAACATATCACAATGTCTGGCTTCCTGCTCTTGCAATATGTTTGTAATTAAACTTTCTTTTTTTTTTTTAAGCACCTATATTGAGTTATAATTTTCATACATTAAACTGCAATCATTTAACATATACATTTCATTAGGTTTGACTGATGGATTTACCTGTGAAATCACCATCACACACAAGATCCAGAATATTTCCATTTCTCCCCAAAAGATTCCTCACACCCCTTGGAAATCCATCCCTCTATTTACCAGTAGCCCCAAACAAACACTGATCTTTTTGTCAATATAGACGATATAGACTTAGTTTGCATTTTCCAGAATTTTATATAACTGGAACCATAAGATATATATAATCTTTTGTGTCTGCTTCTTTCACTGGGCATAATGATTTAGAGATTAAGCCACATTGTATGTATTAGTAATCCTTTCCTGTTTTATTGTTAAGTAGTGGTCCATTATATGAATATATCAGAATTTTTCTTATCTATTTATCTATTGATGCCAAGCTGTTTCCACTTTTGGATTATTGTAAATAAAGTTGCTATAATCATCCCTGTGCAGTCTTTGTATGGAAATAGCCTCTCATTTGTCTTATTTCTCATTTCTGTTCAAGTTTTTGTTCACATACTACATATCATAAAACTCTGTTCTTCGGTGCATACACATTTAAGATAGCTGTCTTCCTGGTAACTTGACCTTTTTATTATCATACTATGTCCCTCTCTGACAATTTTTTGCTCAGAAGTCTATCTTATTTGATATTAACATAGTCACTCCTGCTTTTTTTAAAAACATTTCTTTTATTTATTTATTTATTTTGCTTGTACAAAAGGTCTTTATTGGTGGGGGAGGGAAGCTGCAGAGCAGCACCAAGGAGGAGAGAAAAAGAGAAGAGAAGAGGGGAGAAAATAGAGAAAGAGGGAAGAAGAGCGAGGGGAGGAAAGAGAGGAGAGAGAGGGAGAGCAGGGAAGAGAGAGATAAAACATTTCTTCTCTTTTTTTTTTCTTTTCTTTTTTGAGACAGAGTCTCACTACATTACCCTCAGTAGAGTACCATGGTGTCATAGCTCACACCAACCTCAAACACTTAGGCTTCAGTGATTCTCTTGCCTCAACCTTCCAAGTAGCTGGGACTACACACACTCACCACAACGCCTGGCTATTTTTTGGTTGTAGTTGTCATTGTTGTTTGGCAGGCCCTGGAGGGATTCAAACCTGCCAGCTCCAGTGTATGTGGCTGGCACCCTAGCCACTGAGCTACAGGCACTGAGCCACTCCTGCTTTTTTTATTACATTATGTAATGTAATATATATGTTGTATAAATATAATGCAATGTATATTTATATACACAAACTTATCTCATTCTACTGTGTCATCATTTCTTAGTTACCTACCTTTACCAGTCCTTCCTTATATTTGTCTTAATATTCTGTCTAAATACAATATTTGGAAACATTAGACACTGTTAGAATTTTTGCTTCAACCACCAACATAACTTAGAAAACTCAATTGGAGATCTGTTTACTCATAATTTTGGTTACCTTGTTTTTTCTTCCTAGTGTTCTCAGATTCCTTCTTTTATTACTTCCTTAGTTTAGAAAACTTCTTGTAACCATTCTTTTAGGATAGGTTTACTGGTAATAAATTCTCTTAGTTCCCCTTCATCTGAGAGTGTCCTAATTTTGCCTTCATTCCAGAAGAATGTTATCTCTGGATATACGATTCTATATTGACAACAACTTACTTTAAGGATTGAAAAGTATTGTGCCACTTTCTCCTGGCCTCCATGGTTGCAGGTAAGAAACTGGCTGCCATTCCATTTGTTTTTCCCCTATAGATAAGATGTCATTTCTCTTTTGGTTTTCTTAACACTTTGTCTTTAGTTTTCAGATTTTTTTTTTATTTATTTAAGAGTTAGAATCTCACTTTATTGCCCTCAGTAGAGTACTGTGGCATCACAGCTCACAGCAACCTCCAGCTCTTGGAGATTCTCTTGCCTCAGCCTCCTGAGTAGCTGGGACTATAGGCGCCCACCACAATGCCCAGCTACTTTTTTTTTTTTTGGTTGCAGTTTTGGCCGGGGCCAGGGTCAAACATACCACCCTCGGTATATGGGGCCAGCATCCTACTCACTGAGCCACAGGAGCCACCCTAGTTTTCAGATTTTTAATTATGATGTGTGTTGGCATGGATTTCTTTGGGTTTACTTTATTTGGGGGTTGCACCATTTCTTAAATCTATAGTTTTAGGTCTCTTGCCAAACTTGAAAAGTTTTTGACCATAATTTTTTCTTGAAGTACTTTTTTGACCTCTCCTTCTTTCTCCTCTCCTTCTATAACGCCAATGACATAAATCTTATCTCCTTTGTTATTTTCACACAGTTCCCTGAAGCTATGTTTATTTTTATGGTCTACTTTCTCTCTTGTTCATAGAGAAAATAAATGGCTAATGTATTTTGTTCTATTTTCTAGCTAATAATTTTTTCCCCTATCTCTTCCATTCTGCTGTTGTACCCATCCACTGAATTTTTTATTTCAGTTACTGTATGTGTCACTTCTAAAATATCAATTTGATACTTGTTTGTATCTTCTGTTGCTTTGCAGAAACATTCTGTTTTTTCACTTGTTTCAGGTATGTTCATAGTTGCTTGCAAAGCATTTTTATCATAGCTGCTTTAAAACCTCTGTCCAATATTTCTAACATCTGGGTCATCTTGGTCATCTTGGTAGCGGCATCTGCTGATCTTCTTCTCTTATTCAGTTCAGTATCCTCCTGTTTCTTTGTATGATGAAAAATCACTTTAATGAGTGATTTTTTATAGAAACCTGGACATGTTGAGTATTAAAAGATTCTAAATCTTATTTAAACCTCTGTTTCAGGTGATTCCTCTGACATCATTCCAACAAGGGAAGAAGGGACAATATCTCCTTACTATCAGGCAGAAGTAGAAGTCTAGATTCCTGATGTAGGCACCACTGGCCCTGAAAAGGTTCCTTATTATTTCTGGGTGGGCATTTGTCTTCCCACCAGATCTCCACTGCTACCACCTTTGCAAGGTTAAAGTGCCTTATATGTGTTCCCACGTAGCCTCTACTGTGCAAGGTGGTAATGAAAGTCCTTATGCCCAACTAGGCTTCTTCCCAGACCATTCTAGCAGGGACTAGAAAGAAAGCCTTATTGCTGCCAAGAAGAAGCAGAAGGTGAGGCGCACCTCCTTACTACCTGTTCAGATGAAGCCTCGGCTGGCTACTTACCTAGAAAACTGTGTTACATGTGAAAGGTGTCTTAGAGACTATATTTTACCTTCTTCAACCCCCAACTTAAAAAAAAAGAAAAGTTAGGCCAGAGAAGGTTAATGACTATTTAAGGTCATATAGCTAGTTTATAGAAAAGCAAGGATAGAAATCCAATTTTCTAAATCATTCTTGAGGGTTTTTTTGTTTATTATTTGGTTTTTGAGTTTTTTTGTTACAACACTTTGTATTTTTATTTTTTAAAGGAACAGTTTTTTCTCAAATATTTACCTGCCAAACACCAATACTGGCTGAAGGTTCTGAGAATGGACGTTTGAAGACCCTGCACATTTTTAAGGCATCTGAATTGACTTCAGTGAAGTTATTTAATACGGCAAAGGCAGCTGCCAATGGATAAACACAGGAGAACAGGCTCACATAACCAAACTGCAGGAACAACTCCAAGTAATCATCGAAGGTACCCTGCAAATATAACCAACAAGAAAGCATGCATAGTTTCAATAGCATACAATAATATATCCTTTAGCAATGCTATTCAAGGCACCTTTAACTATTTAAAAAGCTTTCAAAGAGTTCTCCCCAATTCTTCTTAATCAGAGAATTTACCTTAATTCAAAGGCAATTTTATATATATTAAGTACTTGAAATAAAGAATGAAAAATCATGTAGCTGCACATCTCACTGCGCTGCGTCTCTGAGTTACCGCATCACTTTCCTTCAGTAAGCAACAGCAAAGCTAAAGATGTTTGCTCTTCACCAACTATGAAGAAATCATCCAGGATCACTGCTAGAAATTGTTTATGACGTCCTCCTACTTCATTAATACTCAGAATGGCATTCCCTGATCCATCATTAACACGTGGACTGCCACTCCAGAAATTTTCTTTTTAACTGGGGACATAGTGTTTTACTAGCTCAAGATAGGTCCAGAGATATGTATGTTTCACATGGCCCCAGGCTCAAAACCAGCATTAAGTTAACTACAACTCACATGGCAGGTAATGCGTTAAAAAAGAACAGTGGTGGTGCCAAGGAACATGGTAATGACCACCAGAAGTTCACCCCTCCATAATATAGCAACATAAAAAAAGTAAAATAAAATAAAATTTGTCTGAATCGACTTTCCTAGTTCTCTGGAAACTAAACAAAGAGTTGCAGCAACCAGGCAGCAAATAGTTAAGAAGAACAGCTGAATTTCCGCAGGCACTATAGTCTCATTTCCTGTTCCCAGCTCTGCGGCAGCCATGAAAACAATGCCATGCAGGAGGAAGGGGGCGGAGAGAGTGGGGCTGAGGATCTTTGAAAGTCTCCTTCCCAAAGGAAAGTCATTATCTGACCTGGCTGCTGGTACTCTGAAAGAACCCAGTCAAAACACCTACCTTAATTCAAGCTCTTGGAGTTTGTCCTAGTGTTAACGCAGTGCTTTTCAACCTTCTTTATCTCACTGGCACACTTGAACCTACAGTTAAGCTTCTGAGGCACACTTAAATTATGTTGATCAAAAAAAAGTTTAAAAAAGAATAGACTTACTAGGCTTTGCAAATAATTTAATTAATGATCTTTAAAAATGTCCACAGATCTCTCAAGGTATACTAGCGTGCTGTGGCACACCACTTGAAAATCACTGTTAAAGGCTTCTCCCTGGGGATGTCAGTCAAATTCCTATTCTAACATCATATCTGCCTGAGGTTACAGACAGCAGCTGGGGCGAATAATGGACTAGCCAGGGAGCTTAAAGGAAAAACTGAGGAATGAGAGGTCCATTCCTCCATTTGAAAGAACCAACATTTTCCTGGACATCTGAATGACCAGGCACACGCACAGGACCATGCACATGCTCAGGAAAGATTCAAGAAGGCTCTAAGATCTCACTTCTAACTCACCTTAAGGCTCTTTACCAGCAGAAAATAAATGCAAAGGTAAAGTTTCAAACTTCCTGGCTGAGTGCTGATAGCCTGGCCCAACAACAGCAACAGCAGAGACCCCCCACATCTATAGAACATTCAACGCAGTAACAGCTGAGCATATGTTCTTCTCATACGTATAAAACACATTTCCAAAATAGGTGACATGTTAGATGAAATAAATGGGAAAGGCTTAAAATCGTACAAAGTATCTTCTCTGACCATAATGAAATAAAATTGGAAATCGGTAACAAGAAGTTTGAGGAATTCACAAGTATATGGAAATTGAGCAACATAGTCCAAAAAAACTGATGGGGCAAAGAAGAAATCAGAACATAATTTAAAATGAGTGAAAATGGAGACATAGCATTGTAAATGCCTCTGTTAAAAAACACAATCTCAAAACAACCTAAATTTTCACCTTCACAAGCCTGAGTAAACCCAAAGCAAGCAGAATGAAATAAATAATAAATTGTGGAGAGCTAACAAATAGAAGTAGAAAAATAATAGAGGATCAAAGTTGGATCATTGAAAACATGAAAGAGAAAGAAAGAGAAATCATTACCTAGACTGTGCAAGAGAAAAAAGAGAGAATCAAATCACTCAAATCACTAAATCAAGAATGAAATTACTACTGACCTTACAAGGGGGAAAAGGGAATGTAAGGGAATTCTTTGAACAATTATAAGCACAAAAGAAAAAGAAAATAGAAAATGTAGATGAAATGGGCAAATTCCTAGAATGATCCAACTATGAAAAATGACTCAGGAGGAAACAGTGGCCAGGCTGACATCTGTAGGTCAATGCAGGAAGACTACTTGAGGCCAAGAATTTAAGACAAGCTTGGGCAACATAGTGAGATCTCATTGCTACAAAAAATTTAAAAATTAGCCACGTGTAGGCCAGATGCAGTGGCTCACACCTGTAATCCTAGCACTCTGGGAGGCTGAGGTGGGTGGATGACCTGAGCTCAGGAGTTTGAGATCAGCCTGCTCCAGAACAAGAACCCTCTCTAAAATGGCTGGGCACTGTGGCAGGAGCCTAGTCTCAGCTACTTGGGAGGCTGATAAGAGGTTCTCTTGAGCTCAAGAGTTTGAGGTTGCTGCGAGCTATAACAGCCCAGCACTTTACCAAGGGCAACAAAATGAGACTCTGACTCAAAACAAATAAAATAAATAAAATTTAAAAAATATAAAAATTAGCTAAGTGTGGTGGCACGTGCCTATAGCTCCAGCTACTTGGGAGGCTGAGGTGGGAGGATTGTTGGAGACCAGGAATTCAAGGCTGCAGTGAGCTATGATGGCACTACCGCGCTCTATCCTGGGCTTACATACACCTGTTCTTTTTAAACTATTACAAAAAATTAAAGAGGAGAGAACTCTTCCTAATTCATTCCCTGAAGCCAGCATTACCCTGATACCAGAACCAGATAAAGACATGATAAGAAAACAAAGCTAATACAAAACAAAGCTGATACAAAAGTTCTCAAGAAAACACTAGCAACATTATCTACAAAACACCCAGAGTTAATGGCTCATGATCAAGCCATGATCAAGAATGACTGCTCTCAATTCTCTTACTCAATATACTCCTCACTTCTCTTATTCAACATACTCTGTATAATGAGACAAGAAAACGAAATCAGAGGCACACAGGGAGCCCCTTCCAAACACAGCAGTGTTTCCATCTCACAAGATGATTCTGGGAGATAGTACGTACACATTAACATTCCATCAGTGCTTTTACACTTCTGACTGATTTTGAGTCAATGAATTCAGCAAACCAAGGACATAATCCAAGAACAAAAGAAAAACTGAACAAAGTAAACAAAAACCCACATTAAAATAAAAATGCAGTAATCAAGATACACTCTACCCTATTAGCTGAAAGTTAGCAAAAACCAACTGATTAAGACAATTCTAAGAACCTAGGTACAAACTTTAAGAACAAAATAGTTATTAAGATGCTGTAGTATATCTATGAAATCATAATTAATTTTACATACCTAATTTATTAAATGTATGGAGACAATGTTTCAGCTTCCAGGTGATCCATCCCACTTGCTCCTTACATCGTATCTCAGAGTTCCCTATCCCAGGCATATTTATTTAGCACAGATTAGAATAGCAAGGAAAGTAAGTATAGAGTAAAGGCAACAATCAGGACACAAACAGCTGGGGCTGGGCTGTTCTCTTCCTTAAACTGTTCTTTATTCAATATTATACTGAGCAATTGCTAAATGCCAGGCTCCATGTTAGAAACAGAGTTTCCACAATAAATAACATGAGGACCCTATACTCAGTATCTGAGAAAGGATAATTATTAGTAAATGGTACAAAAACTCTAAATAAAATATTAGCATACTCTAAATAGTGATGTATATAAAAAAAATATAATGAACTAGAGTCAATCATTTAAATGTGAGCATGGTGTCTGTCCCCTTAGGAAATTTATTCATACAAATAAAAATATCAAATAACTAAGACAATATGATAATCATAACAGAAGCAAAATAACTTTATAAAACAACATCGTGCATGATATAAACTCTTAGCAAATAAGAAAAGAGAAAATGGTTTGATGGAGGGAGGGTAAAGGGTAGGACCATACCTATGGTACATATTGCAAGGGTCCATGTCAGATCTATTAAGCATAGAGTATAAATGTCTTAACACAATAATGAAGTAAATGAGGTGCAGGCTATATTAACTAGTCTGATGTAAGCATTCCAAATTGCATTTAAAACCACCACATTGTACCCCATGAATGCATAAATGTATACATGACCTATGTGTTTGTGACTTAATAAAAATAAATAAATAAAAAGAGAAAATGACATTTGAAACTGAGAAAAAGTTATTTACTAAAACACCAAACATAGTACACAAGGGTGAGAAGATAAAAAAAAATCAGAAACAAGATAAAGATTCCTGTAATAAGTATTTCTATCTAAATTGAACATACCTGTGAGTCTAATAGATGAAAACTGTCCTTTATTTACAGCTAAAATAACTGCCTATGTAAAAAATCCAACAAAATCTATAGAAAAAATATTGAAAATAATAGGAGACTTCAGCAAACTTATTGAGTAAAATGATACAAAAATCAACACTTACAGTTTTCCAAAATAAAAAAATCTTTAGTACAAAGTGATACTCATTTACATTTTTGGCAAACCACGGTAATAACAAGCTGAATATAAGAATGCTCATTTATTATGAAACAACGTATTGCTCTAGCTGGAATTTTCATTATGAAAATTTAGCCTTAGGCAGCGAGGCAGTTGGTGTGAACTGGCAGTTTTTGCAGGAAAAGGCCAGCAGTGAATAGCAAAAGTCTCTGAAGAAGAGACACAGCTTAGCCCTGGGGTGGGGAAGAAGGGGTCAGGAGACTCCAGTGGATTACCCTGGGTGGGCATATTACAGAGGACTTCTATTTCATTTACTCTGTCCCTGCATTTTCCAAGTTTTCTGTAGTGAGTGAGCAAGCATGACTTTTATAATGTTTCCTTAAGTTTCAGCCAAATTGCTTTTTCCCAAAGCTTGGCAACATTATTTTAGACTCATTACAGCAGTCAGGATGACATTACAGAAAATACAATTCTAAATTCATTGACTTCAGTGAGGACAAAAATATACCCAGAAAGAAGGATTATTGCATAGGAAACAGTCACCTAGAACAAATGTGATCCAAAAGCAACCCCTCTCTCCAAATACTGTATGTGGAGAGAGGAGCTGAAATAGCCAATATTCAATATCTCTCCAACAGAGAGAGTAAAAGGAACTTGCAGGAGATGAGGGGAAAATGGCCAGATCACGCAGGACCCTGCAGGCACATTAAGGAGCAGCACTGCCAACCTGAGTTAACTGACAGACCAAGGAGCTGCAGAGAAATAGTACATTGTGTCCTTTATCTCACATCTGCGCGCTTGTGCTGTATGACAGAGAGTTTGAAATGGGAAGGCAAAGTCTTGAATCTTGTTCTTGACTAGCCACCAAATGATTACTAACATAGAGATTCAGGTGTTACCCTGTGACATGGGAAGAGATGTTGCCTCCCTCACCTTCCTTAGAGAGGTATTGTCAGATGTCATGAGATGCCAGGAGAGATCAGATGTATAATTTTGGCAGTGACGTCTCTTTGGCATACAGTTTTTATATAAATGAGCATTGCTCAGATGAGGAGCATGGTGTCCGGATTACTGTGAATACTGTTCACTGAACCAGAGGAAAAGCAGGAGAAACCTGTCTGGAGAAGACTGAATTTGTTTGCGGGCCCTTCAGGGCATGATATTGTTTATCCAAACAATTTCAAAGAAAAAGAAGAGCCGAAAGTAAACCCTAATTGATTGCAGAAAGAGAAACAGGAAACTAGGACAACAATATGGAGAATTATGGCAGAAAACTATGAGAGGCAGCAACAGAACAGGATGCAAAAGAAGAGGGTGTGGAGGTTTTGCTTCTTTGAAAGCAGGCAAGTGGACGACGGCTGGGGCAGGTAGAAGGGACAGCAGGAATACAGGAGCACAGGTGATAGGGGACATGAGGCCTCCAAAGGTGAGGGGGATGGAACAAGACGTGGGGGACAGGCTGCTGGCATACTTTCTCTAACAGAATAAAAGAAAAAAAATAAATGTGGCCCCAAATACCGCCCCCCAGGCAAGAAAGCATCCTGCCATAATGTAAACTGGACGGAGCTCTTAGCCCAGAGTGAGCTAGTACTCACTCGGTGCAGGAAGGACAGCTGTGCTGCCTGTGCCCCTTTTCCTTAGCACCTCCTCTGCGTGCCTGTGTCCTCTCTGTACTTCTTCACATGTAAACATAAATAGTGCTGTGCAAGTTGTACTGTGCACTTATACTTTGAATCACCTTCTCCTCCAAACAAAGCAATGGCAGAAATGCTAGTGCATGTGCATATATTTCAATTAAGACACATTCCCGGCTCAGTGCCTGTGGCTCAAGTGGCTAAGGC